CGTGTGGGGGCTAGCGTGAACACGCACAGAAGCAAGTGTGCTACACAGGTTTTCCGTAAACACAGTTGATAAGTCAGTCTCTTGAAACGTTTCAAGCTTTGAAGGGACTGGGAACCCTGAGGGTTCCATACCAACCATTCTTATCGACCAGAAGAGTGATATGTCGCCGTTACTCGGAGGCGGTCAAATGCTTTTGTCTTATACATTTTAAGACAATTCAGTTATCCATCTTCCATGGGGTGGAAGCCGATTGATCGTTTTTTTTTTGGAAGAGACCTATGTCAGAGAAACAATCGGACGTTCTGCATTTGATATATCTTTCCAAGAAAGATTCACTCGGCATGTGCATACACAGGACCGCATGGGAGTAGTTTATGGTATCGCATATTTGAAAGTAACCAGTCCTAAAAAGTGGGAATCATGTAGTCTGAGCGCAAAAAGCTTTCATTCTATGGATAGAGGCGATAGGGCAGAAGAGCTGTCTCCAAGCTTACAAATGTGATAAGATAAGGCCTCATTAGAACAGGCATGTTTTGTGTTTGCGGTTTATTTACGACATTTGTTAACTCCTCCCCCCCCCACAGAACAAAGCAACGGAGCCGAGTGAACAGCTGCTGACTGGTACGAAGAAAAAGCGTCTGAACAGTTATACAGACAGCCTTTAGAAAACTCACTCTATGACCTATCGAAATCCCGTATTGATTCTCTAGCATCGAAATCAGCGAGGATTTGCAACTTGAGTACAACATGCGACTTTTCACTGAACTCTGATATCCCGAGATGGAATGGATGAAAACTGAAATAGAGAAGATAGGAAACGAAAATAGTAGTCACGGATGCAATAGAAAACCAATCAGGGATAGGAAAGCGATGGTGCGAATCAATCAAAGTGGATTCTGACAGACATTGAGTGCCCTATGTGGGACGAATGATGATAAGTTATGCGGTGCAGGAGCTGTCCAAAAGGTTTTACTTAAAAAGCAGGTTACGGAATGAACTCCAGTACATGGCGGGGATCGATCACACTTCGTGAGTTGTCGCTGGGGCGTCCATAAATCACACTAAGGACAAATTATAAGACAATAGAATTTTCCTTTGGTGATCTTCAGATAAGTGAAACTAGTACGTATCAACACAGGCGAACCAACATGACACATTCTCTGGAAAACTAGACTGAGTGTTAGCGACATCCAGGTTGTGCCAAAGAGTTGGTTACAAGAAAGATGACATCCCCATTAGATCCACAACACAGATGCAGCTCAAACTGGTTTATATTTTGCGGACTTTGTATCCGAAAACATAAGACTGAGCTGAGGACTTCCCGGCTCAGTGAGATCTAGTTTAGCGTTCAGCTGTAGCACCCTTTCGGTGCCTAGCTGCCATGCCACCCGAAGGAAGCACGAGGGCTGGGATACTGCCAGGTTGCCCAAGCCTTAGACAGGGGAGCTGAGAGGCGTAGGTCGGGCTCGAACCACGGACCTTCCGGTCAGCAAATTCACGCTCTAACCACTTGGGCCACCTCCCCCCGTGAGATCTAGTTACTAATAGGCGATGGTCGTTGCTTCTGAATTTAGTTAAACGGAGAGTTTTCCTTTCGGACCCAAAACGAGCTCCACTGAAACCATATAAATCAAGGTAAATCAAGGTTATATTGGTCTAAAAAGCATTTTGCTTTACAATGACCAAAGGATATTGGTGTGTGTGTATGTATACAGATAAACGGAATGATATGACATATATGTTCTATTGTTTGTAATCTGCATCTCAAATGTTGATGAGGGAAGTTGGGTGAGATCTTATGTATTCGTCAAGCGAATGTTTGAAAGTCTCGAGGTTACCACAATCCACAACAGATGTTGGTAGTTTGTTCCACGTGAGGGATACGCGGACTGAAAAAAAGTAGCGCCGACAGTTAATGCGGGAACATGGAATGTCAACGGCCAATGGATTCCGTCGGGTCTGTCGGGCCAAATTAACTGTGAACAAATGTTTTAAAGGGTGATTAGGGGTGTTTATTATCTTGAACATCAGGATGAGGTCTCCTCGTATACGCCGATAAGTTAAATCAAACAAATCGAGTTTACGTAGCCTTTCACTGTAGGGAACGTTTCGGAGGCCAATGACCAGCTTGGTCGCGCGGTGGTAGATACGCTCTAGCAGTTGTGTATCCTTTTGCAGCCATGGAGACCAGGCTTGGATCGCGTATTCCATTGTCGGCCGGAGATATGTGTTCATGATAATAGGGAGAATTTCAGGCGTAAAACGATAAAATATTCTCCTAAGCATCCCGAGCAGTGCCGAGGTCTTGCGATATACTGATAGACAGTGTTTACTCGGCTTCAGGTTGCTAGAAATCCAGACGCCGAGGTCTTTTTCCTCAGCCACCCATTCCAGTTCATTGGATCCCAGTTTGTATGGGAAGTGGTAGCTCTTCCCCAGATTTATGAGTTTGCATTTCTGGAAATTCAGCGGCAGCCGGTTTTGGATGGACCATTCGTCGATTCTTTGCAGATCTTGCTGTAGCGCATCACAATCAGCCTTTCCATGAATTTCAGACCAGATTTTTATGTCATCAGCAAAAAGTACGGTTTTGCACTGCAGAAGTTTCGGCAGGTCATTCATGTATACCAGGAACAAAATTGGACCAAGAACCGAACCCTGAGGGACACCACTTGTGGCGGCAATTTTATCGGAAAACGCTCCATCGACACGAACTTGGACCGAACGGTCACTCAAATAGTCTTTCAGCCAGCTCAACAGATTTCCCGTCACGCCATACATTTCAAGTTTCCGAAGAAGGATACTGTGATCGACTCGATCAAAGGCTTTGGATATATCCAAGTAACAGGCATGTACAGTAACTCCCGCATCGACTGCTCGTGTCCAGTCATCGAGTGTCACGAGGAGATTGGATAAACAAGAACGATTCTGTCGAAATCCGTGTTGTTTATCGCTCAACAAGGAGTGAATTTCAAGGTGCGATTTCAGGGCTTCTGCTATAATTCGTTCCATTACTTTTGATATTACTGGGAGAAGAGTGACAGGTCTGTAGTTAGATGCACACGTTCTGATACCTCCTTTGAATATGGGGGCTATTATCCCGCATTTCCAATCCTCTGGTACCAACCCTTCTTCCAGAGAACTAGCGAACAGTTTAGCCAGAGGATAGCTAAGTGGTTCAGCGCAGTGGCGCAGAAGCAGTGGTGTAACGCCATCCCCACCAGGTGAAGTGTGTACCTGTAAGCCGCGAAGGTGTTTGACAATGTTAGCCCGATCAATATGCACGTCCGATAAAGTTTCGTCCGTTAGTACCTCCACAGTTTGTATAGGAGCGCGGGTATCTTCAGGAGAAAACACGGAAGCATAAAATGTGGCAAGGGCATTAGCTGTTTCAAACGCATTTGCAGTCATTCCCGATTCTGTCTTTATGGCAGATATACCTGGTTTAACTTTAGCCTGCGCATTCACGAATTGATACAATAGTTTGGGGTTTTTCTCCATCCTAGTCATCAATTTGAATTGCTGTTGTAGTTTGTCTTCCTTGATTAGTGACGTGACTTTATTCCGCAACTTTCGGTACGACTCCCAGTGTTCGTCGGTCCGGTTCGTTTTATATTGAAACCAAGCGATGTTACGTTCTGTAATCCATTTTCTTGTTCGACTCCTCACTGTGAACATCTGTACGCAGGTGGCTCGAGGCACCTCTGTCGAATTGTCTGCAATCAAGGTCTGCAGCTGGGCTATGAATGATTTCCATCGCCTATTAGTATTTTCGTGTTCGTCATCCAGCATATTTAGGTCCTGGAAGGCTGAGATTATCTCCCGAAAATTGGTCTTCAGAACATATTTATGTGGGTCGCTTAAACGTACGGAGGAGCAAGTGAAATCGAACAAGAGCACGAGATGGTCGCTCTTTCCCAGTGGTGGTCTATATATGATTTGTTCAACCATAAATGGCTCACTAGTTAGTATAAGGTCAAGTAACGAAGGTTGATCTGTTCCACGAAACCTCGTACATTCGTTAACATGGTTGAATAAAGGTACCAAATCTAACAGCTCCTGAAAGTGTGCTTCAACTGAGTTGAGCGAGTATGAAGCGACGAAAAGCTGGGGAAAATTGAAATCACCCATAATGAGAATGGGAATGGAGTAGTAAGAGCATACGCGACGGATTCGGTCACATATACTGAATGTGTGAGTGTCCATTGCGGTTGGAGAGCGGTAAATGACACCAATAATGCACGCATCTATCTTGTTTGACTTCAGCATACACCAGAGGGTATCTTCAAGGATGAGATTAGCGTCAGGTATTTCAGCACATTGAAGACTACTGTCATAATATAGTGCAACTCCACCGCCATGGGTGGCTCGATCGTGTCGTATAACACTCATGTTTGTAATTTCGATTTCCTTGTCCGATATTTCCGCTTGCAACCAAGTCTCAGTCACTGCCACCAAGTGAGGTTTGTATTGGTCGCAAAAGGCGTTTAATTCTGCCACTTTACTGGGCAGACATTGGGTATTTGTATAGAGGCACTTAAGGCTAGTCGTTGTGGTTAATTCTGCTGTGCTGCAACGCACGACTCCCGGGGAGCCAGCAGTGATTCGTTTTTTGGTAAATCGTTTTTTGACCCCAATTTTTCCATCATAGTCTGAATACCAACCGTGGTTTGTTGGTATTCATCAGTGATCGTTTGCGTTTGAATAGTTCCTATTTCGCCAGTCCGAATCGTATCAGCAGATGCGTTTGAGCGTTTAGGTGAGCTTATTCTCAGTTCCCTCGGAAGCAAATTACGGTGCCTTCGCCACTGAGCTTTCACCAAGTTGGCCATTTCGGCACGAAGAAATGTCAGCTTTAAGGGTCTAGGGCCGTTTCCCATGTATTTTTCCGATTTAGGAATTCTGAAAGCATCAACTACTGCCACCTCTTCCGTTTCGAGCGTACTACTCATAGCATCTAGACCCATCCACATTCTGTTGTATCCACATCAGCACCATCACTAACAATGACTACTGGTAAATAATTGCTAACAAATAAATATAAATAAATAAGTCGTCCAGCTGCAACACCCTTCCGGTACCTAGACGCCATGCTACCCTCTGAATAATGTCTTCCAAACGAACGGGCAAAGGTATAGAACAACAAACTACGCTACTATGCACCGACCAATAGATACATGTGCATGAAAGATGCGAAACAGGACGCAGATAAGGACAGAAGACAAAATAAACAACGCTGGAATAGAGAGGACTAATCATCATACAATAATTGCTAATGACCGTAAAGAACGTTCTAAAGCGGTCAAGACTAAGGCGGCTATACAGCGTGCGTCGCTGAGCATACGGATGAGTACTGCGTCACAGTAAAACAGCAGCCTCTGTTGAAAAGGGGTACATACTATTCAGCTCTTAAAGTAAATATCCAACTACCTAAACACAGCCAGACGGTACTGGCTACCCTCTGAATAATGTCTTCCAAGCGATGAGGCAAAGCTATAAAACAACAAACTACGCTACTATGCACCGACCAATAGATACATGTGCATGAAAGATGCGAAACAGGACGCAGATAAGGACAGAAGACAAAATAAACAACGCTGGAATAGAGAGGACTAATCATCATTGAGCAGTTTTTAGGTATGTGAAACAGCCTGTGTGCCAAACGAGAACAATCTCAATTAACGGAACGGGGATCCTGCCTGAAAGGAAGCAAGGGTTGTCTAACATACACTAAACCGAAAAAGATGTAGGCGTACGGCTGTTAAATTGACGCGATAGTCTAAAGCATAGTCGTATTGGGAAACTAGGCAATAAGATCAACGTATGCAGATGTGTACGCATGGACACTCCTGAACTAACAGGATAACATGACCTCCGAAGAAGTCTTGCACGACGCAACGCACGAAACCAATATTACACATACTGAGGAGTATCAAATCAATAAAGTAACGATTCACTCGGACGTAAAATGTCTATGAACTCACATACAAGGAACACAAGACGAAATCTTAGTTCTCTAATGGAGATACATTAAAATACTCGCAGTGGAAACAACGTGCTTAAAAGGGGTAATGCGTATTACAATAATGACGTCACTTACACACAGGGGGATTCTGTTGGTGGGTGAGGTGATAAAACCGATAAAGATGATACCGACCTTCGTTACTTGGAGTGTGAGACGCTATGCGGTTGGCCTCGATCTGCTTCTCTGAAAGAGCAAGGTCGATCATTTCACAATCCATATCGATCAGCTGATCAGTGAAAATGAAGAAAAGGGAATATTTTAGAAAACGTCATCCGCAGTAAAAGTCAGCGTGTCACCAACGTGATGTCAGTTGGTGGTTTGAAGGTTTCATTATGGTGTCTATCTGCCTACTTGTACTGCCGAACAATGTCATGGAGCGGAATCACCGAGGCGTTTAAACATGCACGGTGACATTCCGTGAATCATTACCTGTTAGAATAGTTAGATGCCTGCCTCTCCAACCACTCTCATGTATACAACTGACCTCGTTTCTATGTTCTTCCAGGCGAGGCTTGATACAGAACCAGAATGTTCAGGAGAATCCCAGAATCGGGGATTAGTTAATCCCCAAGGTCCGCGCCAGTTCAAACCGCATTTCTGAACAGTATTTGTAGCCGACTGGTTCATCCTGACCATCAAGATTATATATATATATATATATATATATATAAAGTTGTTCCGTTGCCACTTTGCTTCGAATCAAATACAGCACGCCTAACATACGCTGGAGTACTGAATCAGCACCATGTTGGTCTCTGCCTCTCGACTTCCCCTGTCTAGGCTTGGGCAACCTGGCAGTATCCCAGTCCTCGTGCAACCTTAGGGTGGCACGGCAGTTAGGCACCGGAAGGGCGCTACATCTGAACGATTTCGATTTTCAATTAGCCTATTCCAAACATTCTGAAGCATCTACATTCCCAGAAACTAACAACAAGAACGCTAATAACAGCGACCAGCTGCCGTTTCATACGTCTCCAGCTAAGCGTAATGGGGCTCACGAGACCCTGGAAGGCGTGTCGCACTAACAACACCGGAACCCTGCATAATCTCTTTTACACTCTTTTGCCAAGTCACAGTATTGCGAGATGAGACATATCAATGGTCAGAGGCACTGCTGAACGTGGCGCAGTCGCGCGTTCAGTGGCGTGCACACATCTAAGATGTTGCCTTCAATGCCTCTCGGTCTCGGTAATGAAAACTCTGACGAAACCTCAATATCGGTTCACTACTTATAACAACTACCATCCCAAATGCGTAGCCATCTAACGCGGCAGCTATAACCATTGTACAATAGGCAATCGGTTTTTACGGCTATTGCTACTGCTGCTGCTGTTGATTGTGCATTACTTGGAGCTAGCGTATACCAGCGATGATTTGGACTTACGAGTGAGGACGATTCAAATCGTTAGTCGCAGAAGCCTTATCAAAACCGTACCACGCAGTAGCCTGATCTTCAACCCATCAGACCCAATGACTTACCTGTTTTGCGCAGGTCGGACGTGAGTCCGGGCCTCCAGATTTCTGCGCCGGCACACTGCCACCACGGCTGATACCGCCTCTGGATTGCGAAAAAGAGGGTCCATTAGCTTCAGCAATTTTATTTGATCACGAGTGGCGTGTTCCGCAAGTTCGAGGGCATGAAATTGTACTTTTTGTGGGTAAAGCAGGTACTGAAGGATGGTATGACTCGAACTTTCTGAAAGCGTTTGCACTTCGCCCTACATTTTGATGCTGGGAAGAAAGTCGTCTGCGCACTTCAGATCAACAAGGCTTTCGCCAGTAGCCGTTTGAAGACCCTCTAGCATCCGTCCCACTGTCTGCTTCACAAAGCCAAACAAGAGAGAAAAGCAGACATCCTTTCTGAACACCAATGCTTGTGGCAGTGCTACTGGAGAGCTTCCCGTACGTTCTCACCGCCCATAAGTACGGTGATTCAGAGGACGTATCTTGCTCAAAACTTGGCACAATAGGTTGCATGAACGGACTTGTCCACAGAATCTAGAACAGTCAGACGTCTATGCGTCCGACTTTGCTGTACAGCACAACTGATTGGGAAGATCCAAGTGAACCCTTCCGTGCTGTAATTCGACTTCCTGCTCTCAGATCAAGGCTTCACATGCTGTCGCACGACGACAGGGAATATTCGACGCTAGGAGTCTTGTTATAACAATGGCCAAGCCGATAGCCTTGTGATAACCATATGCATTGTGACTGTCTGTTATTAAAACAGACACTACCATTGATTCATTCGGAATAGCCGAGACAGCTTATTCTCCCCCCCCCCAAACAACCCAGCACAGACTTGGGAGTCCACCTCCATGTTTAAACAAGTTGGGGAGTGACGACAGAGGAATTGAATTCATTTTGATACCTCCGAAGTCATCGGACGCTTCATGTTCAAGGCTTTGCTACTGGCAAGTTGTGTTATTCTGGGGTTCGTTAGCATTCTAGATGAGGTATGCGGCTTTGGTCTTCGAGAAGCATAAGGAAACGTAGAAACGGACAAGCACGTGATCCGAGTCTTTCAAAACCGGTGGCAATGAGTGGTTAATCCATGACACATGAATTTGATGGTGCGCACGTGGATGCAGTATTAACAGTCAAGTTCAACTGTTCCTAAAGTTGGCGTTGCATACTCATCATCATCGACAGTACGACATCAGTGTTAAAAACCGACGCTTCGCTGACGTACAACCATGGTTTATTTGAAAGACTTATTGTGAAGAAAAGAATAAAACTGAACGGAGAACGGACGCGGTGCTACCTTAATACAATCACACCGAGGTGCCCACGCCTACAGACATTCATTCAGGCAAGCTGGATAGAAACTGACAAGAAGAACGCTACTGACATCTGTTGGCAGTCATATACTGCAGCGTCTCAAACAAAACGCAGTGGAAATTACGTGGTCCCCATCCGACAGCACCCGAACGTTTCGCAATCTCCTTCATACCCCTACGCCAGGTCAAGGGGTGGTTACCACTCTGCTTCCGCCATTCTGAGTTGGGCAAGGAAAACATCACTCTCTTCGGAAAACGACGATTTGGCAGACGCAACAAATGTCCCGACCAACACAGCTCCTGGTATTGGACACATGCTTCAATGGAAGTATCCGTTGCACAATCAAAAACTCGCTTTCTAATTGTCTCGTTGCGGATTCCGGACATCAACCCACACAAGCTATGGTTCCAAAACAACGACTGCCGGATACTTAAAAACGTCCCAGTTCCGCTGCTCGAGCAGACCAAGTCTCACAGCCATACAAGAAAACAGCCCGCACTGTAGCTTGATACACACGTCCTTTGAGATTCAGGGATATGCTACTTTGACGCCATAGGTGTCTCAAACTAGCAAAGGCGATCCGGGCCTTGGAGATTCGGGCACTGACCCCATCTGTCGCACTACAATCAGAAGTAACACAACTTCCGAGAGGTGTAAAACGCCCCATTATTTTGAGTGCCTTTCCCTAGATTGTGAGTGACATGTTCGGTGAGTGCATGTCTTTATCCTTTGTGGGTGCATAGTGCATACCAAAGGATGGGCGACTTTGGATATTTAATCCAAAGACACCTGTGTCTTCTCCTCTTCGAAGACTAGAACGATGTCGTCTGCATATTCCAGATCGACAAGGTTTTCATTAGACTATTTGAACGCTGAGGTTTTTGAGACCTCCGTTTCATGATTTCATCGGCCAAGAAGTTAAATAGGAATGGAGAGAGCCGACTCACATGACGAACACCGCTTTGTGTACTGAAGCTTTTGAAGAACTCGCCGCACACTCTTACACGTCCTAATGTCTGAGAATACAAATAGCTTATTATGTTCACGAACTTTCGGGGCACCCCTTGGTGGGCAAGCATGTCAAGAAGAACAGACGAAGACGTCACGAAGAGACTGGACCTTACTATGGTGTGACGGTTTGCGCACTTCAGCGCCCCATTGAGCTATACAGGGGGGTACCCCCGCGAAACTCAGAGTCTCTCATAGCAGGTTGGTCAATGGTTAGTCTGATAAACACATTCGCATGGCCCTCCAGGTTGCGGTTTGGAAAATGTGGCAACTTGTTCTGTAGAAGTGGCAATGCACTCCAATTTCCCGCCAAACACCGCTGTCTTGCGGTTAGGTTTTTGAACCAAACGCCCTGATTGAGGACCCTAATCGTCTTCCTATCTAGGTGTGGGCGCCCTGACGGTATACCAGCCCACGTACAACCATTATACCTACGTCTAACAACAAACTCATGCCACATCGGCTGTCGCGTGAAGCCATCAACCGGGTCATCTTACTAGCCGCATACAGCGTTGCATAGAATCAGCGCGCGGCCATTTGCAATAAATGGTCACAAACGTCCGAACCCAGCCCGGGCGAGTAACCGGTGAGACTCCAACAGCACTAAGTATACGAAAGTGCGGTGGTCATTCGCACATCGGTGGTCGCTTGCTCCTCATTCCAGTTTTTCAGGATAACCAGAAGGATATGCGCATCCCTGTTTCACCGTTCTAATAACATGCTTTACGATGTCCTATAGGCGTTTTATAGGGTTGAAAGCAACCGAGTATGAAGGCAGAGAGTTGAATGTACCACCGGAATGCCGTGCATCGCCAAATACGCGTTCCAATTCACTGTGATAACGAGACTGGCAAACGACAACTATCTCCCATAGTGGCTCTTTACTGGGGTAATCCGACAGATTACGTCTAATGGTTGTCGTACCGAGCTACTCGGTGTGATGGCGCCAATAACATGCACCTTAATACAACGACCAGTCACAATGACCGTCTGGGTCTTTTGCCCTGACAGCACGAACAACAATGACATCAGTCACCTTTTCTTGCAATGTCCTCAGCCAAGAGCGGCGGGGTCACGGCAACCTCATCCGGAAAGGCGGGCAGCACTAACAGCACCTAACCTCCTTGTAATCTCTCTCGCACCTTTTCGCCAAGCGATCCTCACTTCACAGCTTCGCGACTGAAGTACTTGCTACACAACTAAACACCTGTTTTCTAATTACCTCGTTACAAATTCTTTGACGTCATCCGACAACAGAACACTTCTGAGATACCGGCGATCAAAATACCTGAGAAAGACACATCACCTATCTGTAGGGGGCATCTTGCAACCATACAACAATGCAACCTTTACTGTAGCCTGACACGCGGCCCTTGAGACCCAGTATCATGTCTGTTTGAATAAGAAAATCGCTAGGCTGTAACACCCTTCCGGTGCCTAGACGCCATGCCACCCGAAGGAAGCACGAGGGCTGGGGTACTGCCAGGTTGCCCAAACCTAGACAGGGGAAGTCAAGAGGCAGAGGTCGGGTTCGAACCACGGACCTTCCAGTCAGTAATCTCGTATTCTAACCACTTGAGCCATCTCGCCCCGGTGTCTGTTTGACGTACCAAAAAACGTAAATTAGCAAATGTGATTCGTGGCCTTGGGATTCGTGCACTGACGTCAACAGAACTAATAAAACTAACGAGGTAACTAAAATTCTCTACGAGATCCAGTATTTCTTACTGAATCGTAATGGGCACGCTCAGAGACTGCATGGCTTCACATTTTGGAGGCGTATGCCGAAAGATGGTATGGTGGTGGTCAATTAATGAAACAGAGCTTATTCTCCACCTTAAAAAACGAGGACAGTGTGGTCTTCGTGCCTCAGCAAAAAAGATTGGATCACCTGCGTTTTTAAGACTTTCCAGCGTCCGTCTCATTATTTCATCAACGAAGTTAAGCAAAAATGGAGATACAGCCAGATAAAGCTTTTCGTAAGAAAGCCTGTAGAGAGCTTACCATACATCTTCACATGTCTAAAAGTACCTGAATATAGAGACCGGATTATGTTCACAAGCCTCGGTAGCATTCCATGGTGAGCAAGAGTAGCTCCAAGTATTGGCCGATCGACAGAGGCAGATGCCAATGGCTGCCAGCCGCTCTCGGTGGAGCTAATGTAGTCAATTTCTGTCTAGTGTCTGGGTAAATATTTGGAGGTGTAGGTGTAGGTACCTAGGAGTGATTGTTGTAGGTTGGCATTAAGCCCCTTCCCCTTTCTCTTCCATTCTTTCACAAAAATGCCTCCAAATAAATCATGGTTGTATGGCAGTGAAGCGTCAGTGTTCGAACGCTGATGTTATGCTGTCTATGATGATCATGACGATGATGGAAAGGCGTAAACCGAGAAATAAGGCAACAGCTCTGTATTTAGAACAGGAGGTTGAGTCACAAGGATGACGAATATTCGTAAAATCAAAGCAGCCGAAAATTTGTACCTCATAAAGAACGAAACAAGTGATTTGGAGGAGAGGGGAGACACTGGGTCTACGGTATGCTCAAACCAAGAATGTCGCACAACAATCCTTTTAATATGCGAAATTGAAACTTCGTCGAGTTGTTTATGTCGAAGCTTAGTGGATGGTAGAGGCCAACCCCAACCCAAAGGATTAAATTGGCGACTCACAGGCTGCCATAAGTAGAGTGATGGCACTTCAGCGGATAGCATCGCGGACCACTTACCATGTGATCTCCAACCATGTTCTTCATTTTAACCCGCTGGTGCTACATCAGTGAGCAGCCCAACTGATTTTAATCGACAATTATAAGGGATCCACGTGGTTGGTTGAATCAATGTGTCCCCGTTCCTTTGGGAAATTTTCTGGAAGTACATACATACTTCAGGGGCTCTGTAGGAAATATACCTAACGCAGCTTTCACGCTTTTTAAACCATTTATGGATCGAAGGAGTCCTCAGTTGATTGGAAGTCAAAGCCTAGTGCAACGAAGGTATAGACCATACAATGTATGACCTTCCCTGAACTGAGCACATTTGTGGAAGTCAATACAAATATTCTTCACTTGTTTGCTAGCGCTCTTGTCTTGCACGCTCCGCAGTGCACTTTGAAGTGTTAAGCACTAGCCAATCAGTTAGCTTATTCGGTCACTGATGAGATCAAGAAAAATTTAATCGTGTCATACTGGGTGCGGCTGCGTCATGTGGGTGATGGATGATCATCATCAACTTACCAGCTGAACGTAGTTACATAAGCCACGAGCAAACCGCTGCAGCTCTGCAGCTGCTCCGTTTGTCAGACCAAACTGAAGCGAGCTCCCTGTGGGACGAGCCGCATAAAATCCGCCAGAAACCTGAAACAGAGCGTGGAAATTTTTTGACATCAACAAACCTCGTTGTTTAAGTTAGAGGCCTTCTCTATTTCAGCGGCAGTCAGCGGAGCGGGTGACTCTTTTGAAGTCAGATGCTTCTCGAAACCATTAAGATCGACATCACTCTATACATAAGACGACGCAGAGTAAGCAAAACCTACGAAAGCGTTTCCGGTGAGGTCTTCTTTGATTAGGTGATCTCCGAACTGCCGACGAAGGGTAGCCCTAGTTGATGCATAAAGCATCTTTTCCCGTACCTAAGGTGTGTAGTCAAATATCAGATGGGAATTCAAACAAACACTGGCAGAGTCCGGTACCCAGCTTATTAGAGCCCAGTCGTTCCCGAATTCGCTGGTGGAGTCTAACTTGAAGAGTATATAACACGGGCGCTTTTTATCCAACATTGGTAAGATTTCGGCATTATAATCTTCCCTCCAAGACCCCCGAATGGACGTCACTTTATTAACGATTAAGGATTCATTTTCTATCACCACTTGCAACGCTCGCACATGGCTCCGCTGAGCAGCGGTCAGCTGGGCAGTGACATACTCATCAGCTGAATTATGAAAACGTAGCGATTCCCACGGGTCGGCCGACACTTACCATGAATTCCACTCTGATGCGTCATTCGCAGCTGTGGGAAGAAGCGGCAAATCAGCAATGGGTCGAAGGCACTGGGTTCGACGACCAATGGGGTATCGGGGGAGCTATAATTGGTCCGGAAAAGAACCCATCATCGGAAGTTGATGTTAACGAGGCATACACGGAGAAGCGCAATGTTCAGAGGAGAGATCTTACATTTACATGTAACCGTTCTCTGCAAATGTACTCAAACCAAAAAAGTAAGTGATCTGCCTTGCTTTCGCTGAAATTTGCTTGAACTTGAAGAGATACGGATTCACGAATTGATACACAGGATCGAGGCTTTTGCCCAAGTTTCCCGGGTGGGTTTTGTTCTTGTCGGTCAGTGGATGTCGTTCACCTGAAAGGCACAAGTGAAAAAATGGTGTGGCACTGCTCTCTATGTTCTCAGCGCGGGGCAGTACGCTTGCCAGCGCGAGGATTCGCATAAATAAATGTATTACAGTGCTTTAAACTGGGTTCTAGAAGGAGCGTGGAAGATCATTCCACGCAACTACTACCCGAAATGAGAAGAAATGTTGTCCAATGAATATGTGTGCTCTGAGCTTGAAAATTTTCTTACTATGCCCCCGCCGGGTGTTTGCTGGGTCAAAGGTAAAAAACCTGTTTTCCAAGCTTTGCTCAAACAGGGCATAAGTAAGGATTAGGTCCCCTCGGAGGCGACGCTACTCCAGGGGAAAGAGATCAAGCATCGCGAGACGCGTTTCGTAGTCCATGGACTTGAGGCCGGCAACCATTTTCGTAGCGGCCCACTGGAATGCAGTGAATGACCGCAGTGAATGCCTTTGTCATACAAGTTGAGAATGAACAAGAAAACACTACGAAGACAAGCGGAGGAGGATTCAACTATCTGGCCTCCTTCAAACATGTCCCTCACATTCCAACACGAAAATTCGGCTCAAAAGGCATTCGTTACCCTACGGACGACTTGGCTCGCCTTTCCCCGTAATACTCGCACGGACTTCCAGATGCTCTATGGAAACTGCACCAGACCGCTTCTTGAATATGCCAACAAATTTGTCTACTTAACGAGCGGTAAAGACGTGAACATCAGTGAGCTTGTCTAATGCGACGCCACGATGTTCGTAGGCACCATATCTCTCCGTTATGGAACGACTCTCTAGATGCCTCCAGGAAATTACAGATTGATACACGAGATCATGGCCCCCTCCCAGGATTCCCGAAGCTTGTTCTTGTTGGTAGCGGCCACTGGAATGCAGTGAATGACCGCAGTGAATGCCTTTGTCATACAAGTTGAGAATGAACAAGAAAACACTACGAAGACAAGCGGAGGAGGATTCAACTATCTGGCCTCCTTCAAACATGTCCCTCACATTCCAACACGAAAATTCGGCTCAAAAGGCATTCGTTACCCTACGGACGACTTGGCTCGCCTTTCCCCGTAATACTCGCACGGACTTCCAGATGCTCTATGGAAACTGCACCAGACCGCTTCTTGAATATGCCAACAAATTTGTCTACTTAACGAGCGGTAAAGACGTGAACATCAGTGAGCTTGTCTAATGCGACGCCACGATGTTCGTAGGCACCATATCTCTCCGTTATGGAACGACTCTCTAGATGCCTCCAGGAAATTACAGATTGATACACGAGATCATGGCCCCCTCCCAGGATTCCCGAAGCTTGTTCTTGTTGTTTGGCAACTTTTGTCCACCTGAAAGGCGCGGGCACATCTGTTTAGGTTCTCGGCGGTGGACAGTAAGCATGCCTGCGTGAGGACTCACATAGCAAGGCACCCGACAGAGTTAGCGTCAACATTACTTCCTGCTCTAACCATTCGGAACGAGAACGGTAGTTGCCGAATAGAAGCGTGTGTTTTGGGCTTAACAAGGTCATTTCCATGTCCGTGGCGTGCGTTATTGGAGTCAACGGTGATAAGCCTTTCTGCCAAACCCCGTCTAAACAATATGTGAGTTATTGCTGGGTCAAGTCAACACGTCCACTGAAGACGCAAGAAGGACGTAACTCATGGTGAACGTGTTCGGCGAGCTGCTTCGAAGATGGTCGCTGGTCCAAAATCCGCTGCTGAGGAAGCACACCTCCCCAGTACTTACCCGTGCCTTGTTTGAACGGGGTTTGGCAGAAAGGCTTATCACCGTTGACTCCAATAACGCACGCCACGGACATGGAAATGACCTTGTTAAGCCCAAAACACACGCTTCTATTCGGCAACTACCGTTCTCGTTCCGAATGGTTAGAGCAGGAAGTAATGTTGACGCTAACTCTGTCGGGTGCCTTGCTATGTGAGTCCTCACGCAGGCATGCTTACTGTCCACCGCCGAGAACCTAAACAGATGTGCCCGCGCCTTTCAGGTGGACAAAAGTTGCCAAACAACAAGAACAAGCCGCGGGAATCATGGGAGACAGCCTAGACCTGCATATCAATTCGTAGATGCATGTAAACTTTGGCGCGTAATTCGAGTTTGAAGCAACTGTGTGAGTGTGATACGGCACGTTTCCAACTGACTCTATGGGGAATTTCGTTGAAAATCTCTTGGTGCACATTTTCCGTCCTATGGGCTCCATGAGGGCTTTAAACCACTGCCCTTAAGATAACCATTTGATATAGTATGAGTACATTCTGTTGTGTTGTAAAGAAGTGTATTACAGATACAGCTGGTAACTTTCGCAAAAAAGCGGGAGACGGGGAATCAGACGGATCCAGTAAATAGAGGGCATTTTCTAGTGACAAGTTTGCAAGTTTGAGTTGCCAAGTCCGGTTTCCTCTGGGAAGTCAACCTATCATTCATCTTTTTCCATCATGTCCACAGTCAAAGGCTTACCAAGTTTGTATACATCGACTGACTCTAAACCGGTTACGAAATAAAGGGAATTCTGGCGTTTGCAGTTTTTCCGAACTAAGAAAAATCATCTTGTGAAGCTGCGGCATTTTGCAGCCACTGAGTTTGGAAAGATCCCTGCTATTCAAGGCACATACAATTTCAGTGCAAACTACCAAACCGTTCTTTTGAATGGGGAACTTGAACTTTGATCTTTTGAAGCGAATTATATGCTTTCGGTCTTGGCTAAGTTTGGTAATCACGAACAGTTGTCATTGTTATAGTCGGTTGGATCGCACTACATCCATGCGTCAACCAAGCGCACTGGATTTGGCCATTCTGACAAACGTCACAAACGTTTACTGAGCACAAGTCTCTGGTCGATTTGGGCGATTACTTTTAGCGCTTATATACAAGACTCGCACCTTCCTGACCACGTGTCCCATGGGTGCTGGAATCTTATCATTCACACCCTGTGAAAACGCAGCAGTTCACACCTATGAGTAAACTATGCGGCCTAGCCATTCACATCGGATAAACTGGCAGAACAAATACCGGCGACCAGAGTTGATACTGCTCTATGCTATGCCCACGGATGTTGAAGCATCAGAAGGCGCATGTGCATCGTAGGATGTATCCATCGTAGCTATAGACGCTCCCCTCGAACAGCCGGCATACACTCCATCGCATGGCCTTCTCGGAAGGCGAAGCACGATGGGCTCGTTTTTCATCATATTACTAACACAAAGATTCCGCCACAATTGAAAGTACTATGTTTCACGAATCTGCAATTCACCTCTAAAATCATCGCCCCAAACCGCATATCACAAGCAAGGGGGCTATCCAAGCACTTTCCAGGAATGTCCGTTCTGAGAGTGTAACCAAAGGCCATAATGGGAACTTCATTCGTTGATCGAACAAGTGAATACATCACTCTGAACCTCAAATACACCATACAAATAGGGTCGCAGCGCACAACATGGATTGTGAGAAGACATGAGGAGTGTACATCGTATTGTTATAAACAGAAGCCCCAATAGAAGGCGACTATGGAATAAACGTGGTTTTCAAAGTGGATGTGCATAACAACCTAGCTCGTTGTGAGGTACCTGGGGCAGTAACCTTGGAGCAGCTACGCGCCACGTGATCTGCTCATTGAAGTCCAGATGCTAAACGTTGAGCGAAATTTCCTGCGGGTTCCCGGCCAGGCGATGTTACTGGAACGCGCACGTTGTTGCGTAGGCTGGTTTAGTAACTCCTACGGATCCTCGGGTTGGTTCGCCCTATAATGTGGCTCGCAAAGCTTCCGAGTGAGGTTTTTCTGACCTTTCGGTGGCTCCCGACAGCCTAAAGGGCAAAAGAATCAAAGTCATGGCACTTCAATCAAGATCTAGCGTTGGAACAAAAATTGCAGCGCAATGACTCATTTGAAAAGTAGGTAGCTGGGCGAGGTGCGGATAACTCTTTCGCCGTCAACGGATTTATATACGGCGGTCATCCTTGTAGCATCCCATCGAAAATGTCTTGCGACGATCGAGTCCCCTCCCTTCGACGAACTTAGGAAGCACTCTCAGGGCCTAGCAACCCGAGCTAAAAATTACGAGAATGAATAAATATTCGGACACACAAACGCCTCTAGGTCCGATCGTTCTCGAGGGTGCACAAATAGTGCACTTGTAAAGAGCCAGACACCCAAGCCTCTTTGGGCATATGGGTTTCTAACATCCGGTTCCTCATCACAACGCGCAACGGACTCTCCTCTAAAGGCATGTCGGCACACTTCTCCCTCTGAGGTCTACTCAAATGGCGATGCAAGAGTGCGGAGGTGGTGAAGAGGTGTCTCTTGTTTTTAGAACTAAGTGTCGGTCAACCGGCCGACCTAAGGACAGTACCTGTGTAAAGAATTTTCTCGTAGGGTGGCACGTTGGCCGATGTGGTAACAATCAAGCAGAATAGCCGTCGACCTAGTTGGATTTGCAACAGTCTTATCGAAAGGAGTTGAATGCGCAGGGGGTGGCGTGATAAGTGACAGCAGACAAAGTGATTGAAATAGAATTTTTGAACTGACGGACAAAAACTTGTTTGACTGTAAGTCGCCACGTGAGCTAAGCAGCATTACAGTTTACGAAGGAAAGTGAATGTAAGAAAATGGGTCACCGACCCCTGGATCCTATTAGTAAGAGCAATTTAT